TAAAGGAGCACTGGTCTAGATGGTGTAGGGGAGTGGGGAGCATGGAAATTTAAAGGTGCAGTGACCTTTTTTATTTTTATTTTTTGCTCAACAAGCTTGGTGTCCCCCCCTCCCTTTTTTTTTCTCAACCAATTTTTTTCCCTGCCATGTTTGGGATTTTTTGTGTTCAGGTATCTGGCAACCCTATTCCCTGCAGAAGTGGAGTTTGAGGAGGGACGCGAACACCATGAGGGATGTGGCAAAGCGAACTGGTTTTGGAAGGGTGCTCCAAGGTTGAGGGGAAGTATTGAAGAAGGAAAAGACACGCAGCGGTTGTTGCTGTTTTTTTTAGAGAAGTTACACAGTTCTTGCTTTCTTCTTGGTGGTGTGAGTTTTTGTGATGGTTACCATTCTAGACTGATTGTATAAACCAGTGGTCCCCAATCATTTGGAGCTGCCGGGCTCCAGGGGACGGGGCCGTTCGTCCGCTGGGCCCCAGAGGGCGGGGACATTCGTGTGCCCGGGGGCGGGGCCATACATACGCCACACTCCCATGAGCCACGTGCCTGGGGCCAGCAACCCCATGCGCCACATGGCCACAGGTGGGGCCGCCCATTTGCCACAAGCCTGGGGCCGGCACCCCCCATAGCTGTGCGCCTGGGGGCGGGGTGACCAATTTGCCATGTGCCTGGGCCAAGGCAGCCAATTCGCCGCGTGCCTGGGGACGGCGCTCCCCATGCACCCGGGGCCGGCTCTGCGCAGGCGCCATGCGCCCAGGCTGGGACCAGCCCCGAGCACTTGGCGGGCGCACACAAATGCCCCTGCGGTTGCCATGGCGCCTGCGGGCACCGTGTTGGGGACCACTGGTATAAGCCATTGCACCTAATAGGGATCTATCTCTTTAAGAGACCCCTGTCGGGAAGCTAGGAGTGAGTTGTGTTACTGTTGTGTTACTGTTGCTGGTTAGATTTAGCACTCCACACCCAGAAGCTTCTGGAGTTGGGTGTGGTAGTTTGGGGTTAGACTCCATGAGCAGGCGGGCCGGCCAGATGCTTTACTAAGGGCCTTGTGCCCTGTATGAACTGGGAGAAGCTGAGCCAGGAGCAGAGAGCAGGCTGCTGTTCCTCACTCTGCAGCACTTTGCAATAGGTAGTGATGATGCTAACCCTCTACCAGGGCACATGGGCAATGTTAATGATAGCAAGGGGAAACTAGGAGGAGAAAATAACTTCTCTGTGTTAATTGTTTCCGACTGTTCTAGTCACTTTTTCAGTCCATGTGATTCTTCAGCTCCTCTGTAAATGTAGCAATGGGGAAGAGTCATTTCTGTTTTGTTAGTCTCAGTCTTTGTATTTTCTTGTAACAGGGCTTTTTAAGCCTGTTCACTTGTCAGTTAATTGACTGGCTAACCAGGGAGCTGGCTGCCTAGCAGTCATCCACAGCAAAGGAAGAGGCTGCCTGGACTCCACCTGAGGATTTCCTACAAGCAAGTGGAGAGATGGTTCAGACTCAGCATATGGTGCCAATTTGATGATCAGAGACAAACTGAAACGTTGGTGAACTAAATTGAAGCTTTTGGGATCTTTCGGTCTCTTATTGTGTTTGCGTGGACTGAAGTGTTCAAATTTTACTTTTAGTTTTCTCTTTACTTATGTTTAGTGTAACTGTGGACAGTATCCGTGGGTTATAGAATAGCTGTGTTCTCTTGTTGGCATTAGATTATTATTTGTTTCTTCTTAAGATTTTATAAAGTGATTTCATTAAATTCATTTTTTTTAGTTACTTTTGGAGCTTGAATGTAAGGAGGCTGACACTGGGCCATCCTTTCTGAAATTCCCTACAGGCTGAACTGTGGGTTTCCAGGTACTTTCTATGGAATTGGGTTTTTTTAGACACTGGAGAAGGGCAGGGAAGTCTAGCCCAGTGTTTCTGAAAGTGCTCCCCGGAATCACTTTGAGAAACACATTAACTGGCCGCCCCGGTTTGTTTATTTACTGGTGCCGCGGCTACGGAGCCTCGTGGCTCCCAGTGGCTCCGTTTTGTCCTTTGCAGCCAAGCAAGCCCTCCCTGACACTCATTGCTCAGAGCCCAGTGAAGTCTGTTGCGAGCTCTGGCTATAAGCCTTCATTGAGGTTGTAGAATCTCCATCACAGGAGATATTTAAGAGCAGGTTAGACAGACATCTATCAGAGATGGTCTAGATGGTGCTTAGTCCTGCTGTGAGGGCAGGGGTCTAGACTTTCCAATTCTCTTGAGGGCCTTTCCAATTCTAGTGTGCTGTGATGCTGTGATTCATATAAAGCCTGGCCAACTTTCTGCAAAATACGCTCTAGTCAAATGTTGGTTATTGACCTGGGAGATACAGGACAGCAAACTAAATGATCAACTGGTCTCTTCTGATGTTAAAAATCTGTGGATCACCAACTCTCTGTACCACACAAACACCCTGAAAAGTCACATTTTACAATGGCATTTACCACCTGAGATACTGAAGAATGCATAAGAGCAGAGTATTTGTTATCAGACCTTTGGATATTACCATTAATTACCTTTGCTTATTATATATAGTTCAATGCTGTGCCTTGCACAGGAATAAAATCCATTAGCAATTACTTTAAGAAATCATCAGTTATTATTAATTCTTATTATTATTAAAAAAAAATGCGCCATTCAACAACCCGTTTGCTCTTGCATTTGCAATAGATTGGATTGCTTTGCATAACCTGCAAACTGTTCCCCGTGCATGACTTTTTTTGGGCATCCCTATTGGAAGCATTCTCCTGTGCTTCATCATTTTGTGCGTCTTTTCATTAATCTGCGCTTGTGGCAGATTCTCTTATCTTAAGCTGCAGGGTTTTACCCTACTGTGGCATGGCAGGGGACTGTCAAGGTCAGAGACAGACAAAAGATCTTACAGACTCACCTCCTGTTTTCTTTGATTTGAGGTGCTGGTGAACGGTTGGGGAGTAGCCAGATGGCTTTGCTCTGCGTCCTCGGAAGAAACCTGGCTGGGGGATATGGATGGATGGGTATCATCTGCTCTTGGTAATTGGCACTCTGTAGAGAGGGAATATGGTCAGAAGGTGGCACTGTATGGTAGAACAGTGTTTCTCAACCAGTGGTACGAGCACCCTCGGGGGTACCTGAGAAAAGTCTGGGAGCGTACGTCAACACAACTGAAATTTGAAGAAAACTGAATTTTTGTTTAAAGTTTTACAGTGCTTTATTATTTTTGTATTTTTTACACCCAAAAATTTCATCACCCGCCCGGCTATGATTACGTTGTTTAAACAAACATCTGTGTGTCTGAAAAGTGTAGGTACTGGGGGTACTTACAATTTTTTCTTTTTTTGAAAAAAGGGTACTTTATACTGCCCCTGCCTCTAGCACCTCTCAAGGTCCCTTACAGCTCTATGAGATGGTATATCTCCTTATTATCTTATCCCCTAAAGCCCTTTCCCCTCACTCCAGCTCCCTCATTTTCACTGGGCAGGAGCAGGAGGTTGGGAAGTAGGAGGGAGTGGGCGTGGGGGTGTGCAGACTCTGGGGTAGGGCTGGGAATGAGGGGTTTGTGGTGCAGGAGGGAGCTCTGGATTGGAGTACATTGGGGGCATGAGAGCTCCAGCGTGGGGTGCAGGTTCTGGAATGGGGAAGGAGATAAAGAATTTAGAGTGCAGGAAAGACTCCAGGCTGTGGCCAAGAGTTTGGGGGTGCGGCAGAGGCTCCACGCTGAGGTCAAGAGGTTCAAGGTGTGGGAAGAGGCTTGGGACTGCAGGGCATTGGATGCGGAAAGGAGAGTACGGTCTGGGTGTCACGTTTGTAAGGTGGCTCCCGGGATGCAGCCAACAAATCCCGACAGCTCCAGGAGGTCTCCACACATTGGTCTATGTCCAGAGGCACCGCCCCTCCCAACTCTGATTGGTTGCGGTTCCTGGCCAGTGGGACCCGAGGAGCTGGTGCTAGAGGCAGGGGCAGTGCGCGGAGCCACGCTGGAGCCCAGTACACTGAGGAACCCCAGGGACTTGCTGGCTGCTTCCCAGGAGCTGTGCAGGGCCAGGGCAGGAAGGGAGCTCGCAGGCGGAATTTTTGGCAGCCCAGATGGCACCACCTGGGTCCCATTTTGACCAGGCGTTCTGGTCGAAAACTGGCTGCCTGGCCAGCTTAGCGCCATTGTCAACAGCTGCCCCGTCCCATCCCAGCACCCGTCATGTATCTGTACAGTTGTATGGTTTGTAAGCTTGGGTGGGCATTTACAAACGGGAAGGTTTGCTTCTGCGTGATGGGACCTCGCTGGAGCGCCGCACCCAGCCCCTTTACATGGTCAGAGGCTGAGGTGGGAGGGGCAGAGCCAGTGTTCAAACGGGAGCCGAAGTAATGCACGGGCAGCCGCAATGTTCCTGATTCAGTGAGCATCTGTGGTCTGCTCTGGCACGGTCAGGGGTCCTGGCGCTGGCAGGAGGCAGCAACAATTCCATTCAGTCTGTGGCAGAGGAAGGGTGTGAGCCCCCGTTGCCTGATCATTGCTTTCTTTCTATTTCGATAGCCGTTCCAATGGGGACGCCCGCTGCTTCCTGCCCCACACCGTGAAACGTGCTGTTTGCGGGGAACCGGACGCTGCCTTTCAACCCAGAGGCGGCTGCACTTCGGTGACATGTGGAGTGATCCCCATGCGATTTGTCCCTCAGCTTGTGAAGGGGAGCGGAATGGTCCAGTCCAAAAGACAGACGTCCACAAATTATGAAAATTCCAGTTTGAACTTTTGTTCCCCTTGGGGCAGAGGCACTAAAAACATCCTCCCTCCCCCATCTGTTTACAGACGAGTAGAGCATGCCAACTACAGCTGGGACAAATGTCAAAGCCAGATTGTTCCATAGAGACGCATTGATTTCAGTTTCAGAGGTCCAGGGCTCTGGGGTTCCTTCTAGGTGGTGGGGGAGGGGGAACAACCCTGGCCTTTCCTATCCACAACCGTGTTTCACAAACGTGCACAAAAACACATTTTGAAACCTCAAAAGTTGTCATGAAATGGAAGCCGCCTCCGGCCTGCTTGTAAGAGCTGGTTAGAAACACAAATCAATGCTGCAGGGGTCAGTATGTGTTGCCCGGGCTGAGGAGAAGGGTCTAAAAGGCCAACACCCAGGGGCGGCCCATGAGCATAGGCAGACTCGGCGGTCGCCTAGGGTGCCGCCGGCCCGGGGTGCCCAATGATGATGTCATGGCCATTGACGGCCGTGCAGGCGGGGGCGCCGATTGCGCCTTCTGCCTAGGGTACCAGCTGCCGCAACCGGCTTTGGGCCGCTCCTGCCAACACCTCAGCCCACAAACCCTGACACCACCCCCGTGCTTAAAGATTCACAAAGCCAGGACCCTCGCTCAGCCCACTACAGGCCTACAGCAGGGGTGGGGAACCTTTTTAGGGTTGGGGGGGACGCTGACCCACAGAAAAATCAGTCGGGGGCTCCACACAAGGGAGAAGCAAAAGCAAAAAAAACCCAGCACCCCTCACTGACATGGCCCCCAATTGAGAAGCAGAACGACATCCCCCCCACATTCCGCTCGCACACCAGAGCCTGGGGGGGCCCAGGCAAGTAGAGTTTGTGTGTTCCAGCCCCATGGGCAGGCAGTGCATGTGTGTGTGGTGGGGAGGGGAGGGCTGGAGCACCAGTTCAGGCTCCCCAATGCTGGGGTAGGAGCCCTGAGCTTCGGGAGCCAGATCCAGGCAAGCTGGGGGGGAGGGAGGCCGCATCCTTAAGTTCTCCACCTTGGTCTAGTGAATTGGAATTTGGCTATAAACCTGAACTACTTAAAGTTCATGCGGGGCTTGAAAGGGCTGCCGGAGAAGAATCAAGCCAAAGATAATATGCAGGAAAATTATCAGAGGAGTAGCCATGTTCGTCTGAATCTGCAAAAGCGAAGAGGAGTCCTGTGGCACCTGATAGACTAACAGATTGATTGGAGCATGAGCTTTCGTGGGGCAAGACCCATTTCATGCATCTGATGAAGTGGGTCTTTGGCCACGAAAGCTTATGCAGGAAAAGTTCATGAAATGGTTAACGTTCCTTCACTTTTAACAATCACTGGCTTATTATGACACAGGGAAGGGCGTTTATTTTCCCCAAGCACCTGCTGTTTTGCCTCTTTGAGCTTATGACATCCTGTGGGCTGAAACATGCCAGAGAAGTGCAAGGCATGAATTAGATTGATTAAAGATGATGATACAAAGACACACATCTGCAGCCTCTGCCAAACCCCCTTCAAGAGGCCCCAGATGGGCAGAGACCAAGCGAGGTATCGAACAGTCACTAAAGTGCAAACATGGAGAGAGAGACCAGCAAACACCGACTCCATCGCTGTGGGATAGACATTCACCTGCCCCTTCCACAGAGGTGGGGTCCCTAGAAGAGGACTGGGACAGGGGTTCCTTCTCGTCTCCCCTGCCCTCACTGCCTCTCCACCCCTAGATACGCCACCATGCCTCAGGAGACCTCAGGGTCCAGTTCTCTGGTGTGGCTCCCCCCATCGTCCCCGCTGGACATAGTGTTGGAACTAGAGGTGTGGGGGATATGCAGCACCCCAGCGACTGAAGTGGTTTCCATTCCATACAGATGGGGTGGGCAATCATTTTTGCAGGGGGGCCACTTAATGAATTTTGATAGGTGGTCACAGGCTGGCTCCAGCCCAGAAGGGGCGGGGCCTGGGGTGAAAGGGGCGAGGTCTGGGGCAAAAGGGGCGGGGCTTGAGGACTAGCCTCCTCCCAGAGCTGTCTGGGGCTGGAAGCTTTGAATTAAAAACACGTCAAGGGGCTCGCAGCTCCCAGCCCTGCAGCCACCGTGTGGCCTGGCAACCGCCCGGGGTTGCTGCAGCTATTTAAAGGCCCCTGCTGGGGTAGCGCCGCAACTGGGAGCCATTTAAATAGGATCCTGCTGCCTGAGTCACCGCTTGGAAATTTGGCGGTACGGGGAGCAGGATATAAATAGAAAGTGTCCGGATGCAGTCTGTGAGCCGGATCCAAGTGTTATAAGGGCTGGATCCAGCCCCCGGGCCGCATCTTGCCCAGCCTGGCTACACAGGGTTTACAGTTTGGTTCAATGGCTCTTAGCATCCCTACTGTAAATATTGTTCCAGCACCTCTGCAGATGGTTCCAGGTTTGTTCTCTCCCTTCCAGGGGATGGGGATTGTTTCCTCCAGTTCTTCCTGGCCTGCAGCTTCACATCTTCGCTTTAAACCCTTTGGCGGGAGTAGGAACTCTCCTCTATGCAGCCTGCAGCCCCAGCGCGGCGTCGGCATGTGCGGAACATAGTTTGTAACAGGATTCGGGTTGGGCGCAAGCCCAGCCCTATGGCTCAGCTGCAGGTGTCTCCCAAATACAACGCCTGATCCAAAGCTCCCAAATGCCAATAGGAGTTTGCCCAGAGTCCTGGGGAGCAGCTCCAGGGCAGAGAGAGAGCCCACTGATGGGACGGGGAGGTTTGCGGGAGCAGGTTTTGAACCTGGGATGCTGTGCAGCGTGGGTAGCTTTTGCTCATTTCCCTCCCTGGCCACTAAGGAAGCCGACAAAGAGGCAGACACAGTAAGATGACCACAGTGGGTGCCCGGAGAGGTCATAGATCATTTGTACAATGGAGCATGTAAAACACTGGCAGCTTCTGGTCTCCCAGACAAGGCTTGGAAGGTCGGATTTGGAAAGAGAGAATTACACAGCCCGCGTGTGTCTGAACAAAGGACTTTGCTATTTCCCCATTTCATTCCTCACCTCTGCGACCTGGGAGTTTCCAACAATATGCTCGGCCAGGAATAGGCAATTTTCAGCATTGCTGGGGCTCAGCGCTGTCTAGACTTCAAAACACGCCACCCTCCCTTGAACGCCTGCCACGGCCTCTCTTAACATTTCCTGTACATGGAAGCTGAGAGCCCTTCGCTTTGCCAAAGCCTCAATCATGCTAATGAGCCCCTAGTTCCTGTAACATCTGGCAACTGGTCCTACTTAAGCCAGTGAACTTACAGCAGGTGCTAGCAAGGTTCATTTCCAAAACCAACATCCATTTGAAAAATTAAA